TTGCGATGACGTTCTGTCATCCTCATCTTCTTTGAGTCCCTATCTGTTTTACTTATTTTGTTAAATTTTATATTATGTAGTAGAATCTGTAAAATTCTTATGTTATGTAAACAGAGAAAAAGAAGAAAAAAAAAAAAAAAAATAGAAGAGGAGCTAAAATAGATCCCTGAGGGGCGCCACATTTTATTTGTAACTGCTTTGAATCGTTAATGTGATCCATAATAACACATTGTTGTCTATTATGTAGATAGTTTGAAAACCATTTTATGGTTTGATTTTTAATGCCATACTTTTCCAGTTTTTTCAGTAGTATTGTATGGTCTACTGTTTCGAATGTCTTTGTCAGATCAATAAAGACTCCTAATACAAATTTCTGACTTTTGAAAGATGTGGTAATGTTGTTAACAAGGTCTAAGATGGCATGATCGGTTAAATGTTGTGTTTAAAAGCCATATTGATTGAAAATTTTGTATTGTGTTAGATATTTATGGACTCTGTTGTAAATTATTCTTTCAAGGAGTTGAGAAAATACAGTGAGAATTGAAATTGGTCTATAGTTACTTAAATTAGATGTATCTCCAGTTTTATATAAAGGTAAAATTTTTGCTATTTTCAATTTGTCAGGAACAATCCCTGTTATAATTGACGAGTTAAAGATGTTTAAAATAGGCTTTTTATAACAAAAATAGTAACGCGTGTTGTTAATGTTGAAAACTTGAGTTTTGTGTGATGTTTGGTTTAAAAACCAAGGTTTTGTTTATTTACATAAAAAATAATTTCGTGTTTTAAATGTATAGATTTTATTCATTTTTGTGTTTTGTATGTTTATATGTTTAACATGTGGGCACTATATGATAGCTAGGGAATCCAATACCGGTATACCGGGATATCGAAAACCGGGATATTAGTCCATTTTATCTAGTTTCGAATACCGGTATTAAAAGGCTTAAATACCGGTATTTCGGTATTTAAATGTTTTTTTTTTCATTATTTTTAGCAATATTTGTATACTTCATGATCTTTTTTAAATTAAAAAAGTAAATTTAAGTATATACTAAAATATAACTATTTTTGAACATAGCATTGTCGTATTTCATATTATAAATATACGAAAATTCGTAAACATTTGTTGCTTATTTTTAAAATATTTTTTATTCTACCATGTGTTTAAAATCTTTGTTTGAGTAAAAAACTAGTATATTAAAGTAAAGTTGTCAAACTCTGATTCATAGACAACTCTTTGATGAAATTCTTCCCATTATTACTTAACTCATTTTTAAAATCATTCAAATTCCCGGAAAGTTTATAATTACGGGTTGTTGTTTGTATTTTTTTTTTAAACAATTATAAGTGCTTATACTTTAAAGCAATGTGTTAAACATTCTTTAGTTTTTGAGTTCTTGATTTTACATTTTTAGTTATACGGCGATGATCTAAAAGTAAAAAACGAGCTCACATTTTATACAAATTACAAAATCTTTATATACCTATTTCTTTGATACCTTTTAAAAATAATTACCAAGAACAACTTTAGTAAGTTTAAAAATTAACATTTTCAAGTTTAAATTTAAATATTTAAATTCATTTTATTTAATATTTATATCAGTCACATTATGTGACTGATATAAACATTGTGAGGATAAAATATGTAACACATATATACAATTGAGATTATATTCTAATTTAACCGATGGTGAGTGAAATTAAAAAGTTTATTGAGCATTCAAAAGGCGCAGATAAATATGCTGTTTGGTTTTTTTTTCTCAAAGATGAAAATGGGCATAGTGCAAAACAGCAGGTAGCTCAACAAGCGGCCTTCATACACATTTAAAAAACAAAGCATGATGTAATATTACGAAAAGGAAATGCTATTGAACCTCTTGATTAATCTAGTTCAATATCTGAATTGCTTCCTCCAAAAATTACTAAATATTTAAAAAAAACTACGGAAAACTCGCTGGCAGCAATCTTATCAAGAATGACAGCACTTGATGGGCTTCCATTCAGAATTTTCATAACATTCGATTATCTTCGAAAATCATTAAAAGCATTAAATTTAAGTGAAATCCGCTACAACTATACAAAAAATTGTCACTAGTTATAGCGAAACTATTCGGCAATTAGTAATTAAAGAAATATCAGAATATAAATTGAATGGAAAAGATTTTTAGTATTACTTTTGATGAGTGGATGAGTTCCACGTTTCCATGTTTTGATGAGTTCCTTAAGGAACCGGCGGTACATAAACGTGAATTTTCACTCGGAGACAAAATTTTGAAATTTAGGAGTTCTCCGAATCAATGGAAGTTTACCTGCAGAAAAATGTGTCTTACTTTTAAGTAAAAAATTGAATCAGTATGGTTTGTCATTAGAAAAGAATATCGTTTGTTCAACAAATGATGGTGCATCAGTTATGCAAAAAGTAGGCAAACTAATACCGGCTGTTCAGCAGTTGTGTTTGGCCCATGTAATTCAACTTGCAGTTGTAGATGTTTTATATAAAAAAGATAGAACCGAAGAAAGAACCATATGCTCGAATGAATCAATAGACTTCGAATCATATTTAGATGCCGAAGAGTACAAAAACTATGGTGCCTTTGAAAATATTTCAAATACATACGAAGAAGGTTTAGTTATGGATTACGATATACAAGAACAAGATACCGGAATAACACATAGTCAAATTGGTCCTCTTACACAAAAAGTAAGGAAAATTGTGCAAATATTTAAACGTTCATCATTAAAAAATGAGGTACTACAGAACTATGTAAAGCTCGAATTTCGTAAAGAATACTTCTTAATTGCAGATTCCAAAACTAAATGGAATAGCTTATTAGCAATGCTCGAACGTTTTTACAAATTAAAGTCTTGCATTCAAAAATCAGATATAGATTTAAAACTTAATATAAACTTTACAGAAACTGATTTTGAAACAGTTTTAGCTACTATCTCAGCACTTTTGCCGGTAAAACTATTCATTGAGTCACTTTGTTGCAAAGATGCTAACTTGCAATATTATTGCAAGAAGAACGCAGTTGTCTGATTTAATTTCGTATCTGCATAAAGGTCTAGAAGATGGTATTAGAAACTCAAATTTATTAAGTTTTAACTTTCCACGTGCATCAAAAGCGAGCAATCTCAATTCACTTTTGGGCATTGTAAATTAGAAGGGACTTTAGAATCAAAGCACTGCTGTTAAAGAACGAGCCCGGAAAATTCTTCACTTTGAGGTTAGCGAAGTTGAGATTGACGAAGGAAAAAATTCTGAGAAATCAATGAAAAAAGAGATGTACAAGGCCATTTGTAAACAAATAAACTATAAGGTTGTCGGAAAGCAACCAGAACGCGCTGGTGATATAATCAAGTGTTTAAAAAAAGAAATGAGCCTCTTTGAAGATGAAGGTGTACGAGGATAATATCTCCAACAGGTTTATGATCTTCTTTTAACGATTCGACCAACTAGCGTTGAATCCGAAAGAGCATCTTCTGCTGCCGATATTATTTTAAATAAGTTGCGGTGCAGAATGGATGACAAAACTCTGGATGCTCTTTGTTTTTTTAAGAGCTTACTTTTATAGAATAATAGATAAAGGTTCTATCATATAGATCAATAAATTTGCATTCTTTTCAAGTTTTCGTGGTTCCTAAATTTATTTACTTTCCTTTAAAAATTTATAATATTTAATACCGGTATAACATCGAAATACCGGTATTGATTTTTTGACCTGTATTGGATTACCTAATGATACCCATTGATTAAGTACCCATTGATTAATTACCTATTGATTAAGTAATATTTGTTTAACTAATTTATTTGTATTGTTGTAGTTGTTCTTTTTAAAAGTAAATAACATTAGTTAAGGGAAAACAGAAAAATATATAGCTGCAAGGTCGCATTATTGGTTATTTTGTGATCAAATTGATGAAATCGACACTCTTACAAATTATTCCCTTCTTGGTTGTTTTTGCAATTTTTTTATTTTTGTTATACTTAAAAAACATTTTGACGCTTTTGTTGTGCAAACGATTTAACGATGTAACATCATGTAAAAAAAGATTTCTTGCTAATGTTGTTTTACCAAGAATTTCTCAAATCGGATCCGGTTTTAAAAAAGGGATGTATAGTTATACATTGGGATACCCTAAGATATTAAAATAATTAAGGATGTTTCATTTTTAATAAGTCTTTTTTTTAATTTTAAAAAAAACGCAATATCATTTTTCTTTTTCTAAGAATCGTAAAAGAAAATTATATTTTTTTTATTTTTAACAGTAAAAACCGAACATTTCGTTTGATGATTTTTGTCTAAAATAATTACAAAATTAAATATTTTGTTGTATTCGAAAAAGTGTACCCAAGGGCGTATAGAACTATACCCCCATTTTTTTTGTTGGTAATGTGTTTATCAAGTTTCATGATTAAGAATTTGTCGTTTAAATATAAACTTACACCTATCAATAAGGTTTTTGATCCTGTGAATGACTCTAGTAGTGTATAACTTTCTGCTTAAACATTTGGTCTAAAATAAATGGTAAGATTAGAACTTATTGATCAAGAGACGCATGATAGCTAGTATCACTGACAGAACATCCGTAATTTAAAAGCATTGGTAAAGTGCAGTAACATTGGCGGCTTTTCGATATTAAATAACAGCTGTTATGCTCATTGACTTTAGCCACAATCACAAGTCATATAGCACGACAAACATTGTGGTGTATTTATGTTGTGGGATAGTAATGTTGAAGTGGTCTATTTGCAGTCTATTTGCATCTACAACCTTTAAATAACTTCTTGTTATTTTAAACAAGAGTAAATGCTGAACTGTATCCTAGAATAAAAATTTCATATGATTCACGCGCAAAAAAAAATTATTTTGCTCGTGCAAAATAATTATTATTAACTTTAAATTAACTTATTATTAATGATTTTAACGGATTTACTTGGTTACCTGGTTACTGGATATTAGAGTGGATCAAAAAAACTCAAAAGATATTAAAAATTCCAAAATAAAAATCATCTTATAAAAAACATATATAAAAAAATACAGTTGTGTAAATACAGTTGTTTAATACATAAATAATAATTGGATATAATTAAACTCAAAGTTCCAATTGTAGTAAACTATTTAGATAAGCTAGAGTCGTGTTTCAAGTTAGCTGGAAAGTGTCTTAAGCCATCGAGATACAACATGTATTCAGCATATGTAGATGGAATCACTTCTGGAAACGGTTCATTACTTGTAAAATGGAAATGAAACACATTTGTTGTGTCGGTATATCCTGATTTTGGATCAACTACTTCAGCATGAACTCTTACTTGAAGATATACACCTTTTGTCATCACAATTTGACTAGTTAAGTATAAAAGAGATCCAACTTCAACTGGTTTTTGAAAAGCAATATTGTCTACCGTAATAAGATTTGGAATTGTTTTGATAAAAACACTAGTATTTGCCCATGCAAGCTCGTAAGCAACTCGCATAAGAAAACCACCAAATATCTTGTTGTACCAATTTCTTGACTGAGGGTGGCAAATAATAAGATTCTTTAGAGTTGTATCATGCATCCAAACTGCATTATCTGGTTTTACACGACTTACAAATGTAGACTTGCTTGAACTTATTGTTTTTAAAAATAGTTTATGAGCGCTGTCTTTTTCATCAGCTGTCGGTGAAATCTTTAATAAAGAACTCTCTGATTTAATTTTTCTTAATTCTTTATTTAGCAAACCTTTATTAAAGTATTTTTTTTCTTCTTCAGTATTAGCTTCAAAAGGGTTAATCAATGCTGAGGTACCATCATCCATTGATCTAGCAGCCATTACAAATACAGCTTCAGCTAAGTGTTTCCAGATATCAAGTTCTTTTTTGTATTGATAAATATAAATTGTGACTTCTAAGGAAGTTTTCCCTGCCCATGAAACAAATCCTTTAAGTTTAAGGTCTTCTTTTGGTTGAACCAAATTTCCTTTCAAATTGATTTTGTCTACACTAGCAGTCACCAATGCAAAAGGAGGTCTCTCTGTTGGACCTTTGTAATACTTGTAACCTACCCATACTGCAATTGTATCTAAATCTTCGAGTAGCTTTCCGAAACGAATTGCACCAAAGTAGTTTAAGTAAGTTTCTCTTTCATCTGCATTTGTACCTAAATAAAATTACGTTTTTAAATTCCGTTTTTACAAATTAAAACTAAAATTTTATGAATAAAACATAAGTTAAAACTAAAATGTACTAAATATATTTAAATGCTAAATTGTGAAATAAGTATAGTGGTATAGTGGTTTATGCTTCTCCAGAAATTTACTTCAAGAGACTACATATTAAGATCTGCAAAAACCAGTCAAATTTTTACTAGAGCACCATAACCAGCAACCACAGGTCGAATAAATAATTTCAAAGATAAAAAATGGCAAATGTTAAAGAAAACAAAAAGCAGCTAAAAAGATAGCATAACTATCTTTTTAGCTGCTTTAAATTTTTAATCATTTCATTAGGAAGTATAAACAAAAAAAATAAAAATATAATAAACAATTTTTTGTAAAAATAGAAACGAAGAAAAATAAAGCAATTAAATCATTCCATTGCAACGGGAAGATTTTAAACTTATTCATAATTAAAAGTATTTAAAAAAAAATCTTAATAAAGACATGGAAAAATAGTTATGATAAATTTAAACATAATGTTTAAATTTATCATAACTGCAATAGAGAAGCCTAAAAAAAAAGATAGTATAGAGAAGCTTAATAAAAAAAGATAGCGTAGAGGAGCTTTAATAGAATTAATTAGTATTTTTTTATTCAAAAATTTTAAAAAATAAAAGACTTTTTGTGAAAGCATTTCAAAATAAATGGTATTTTAAATACTATCCAAAAAAATCCAAGTTATTTCAAATAAAAAAAATTCAACTCGTAGTTCCACAAAATCTAAGTAATTTTACCAATCGGCAGAATAACTTCTTGAACACTGTCTGTTAGACTTCTTTTTACTAACTCATTCTGACACTTTGTTTTAATGTAGTTTATTTGTTTAAGATCCTCTTTATGTTCAAGCCAGTATTTTTGAGCACCAACGTGAGTCTAAAATATAAAACACAACAACAAAAATTTATCTTTAATTTATCTTATTATAAATAATTTAGCTGAAGTTTATTTAGCATATATATATATAAAAAATATATATTTTCAAGTTTCCTACAATCATTAAACTTTTTCATATATTGATTTGTTTTTAATTTAACTTATTTCATGTCTCTTTTAATGAATACGGGCAATTCCACGGCGGAAAATAAAAAAGTAATCAAATTCTATTCTCTTTCTCGTCAACTTTTAGCAAATGAATATTGTTGTAGACACATGAAAGTTAAATTAAAATATATCTTTAATACCAAAATTAATTTATTTAAGTCATTTTTATGCCTCCGAAAGTTACGTTTTTTCTCATTGTCGCATGATAAAAAAGGTATTATTGTAAAATGTTATTCTAACCATGAATTTATATGCATAATCGGAATTAAATTAGCGTGAAAATAGAGCTAACATGTTTAAATTGTTATTGGTCAAATTTTATACTTTATAAAATATATATATTTTAAGAAAATAACGAATGAACTTTTGCAATTTTCATATAACGTAAGTTAACAAAAACATTATAAAGTTTTGTTTTTTATATAATTTAGTTTAAAAACCTGAGTTTTTTAACAGTATATGCGAAAGAATATAAAATGTTACATTTTTGTATTTAAAGTTTTGAAAAACGATGCCTAGTTAGAGCACAATTTCATTTTAAATTTGTGTAACGTAAGTTAAAACTACAAATATTTTTTTCATTACGTCATTAAGTAATTATTATTTCGTTGACAAGGTTTTAACTGAAACTTTTTATATTAGGAAAATTTAGAAAAAAAATCTTTTATTTTTGTTAATGTTAATTAAAATTATTTATATTATTGCTTTTTTATTTGTTAATGTTTTCTTATTTTATTTGACATAAATACACATAAATAAATAAAAATAAGAATTATATAAATGATTGTATTCAGTGTCGGATTAAGACTTCGTGGGGCCCGGGGCTATTTTTGTTTTTTGAGGCCTTTTTATGGGCCATGGGGCATTTTTGAGGCCTTTTTATGGGCCCGGGGCTATTTTTTTTTTTTTTGAGGCCTTTTTATGGGCCAGAGCCTAAAAATGACTAAAAAAAAGTCCTCTAAAATTTTTGGGCCCTAAATTTGCGGGGCCCGGGGCTATAGCCCCCCCCCCTCCTCCCGTGATTCGGCACTGATTGTATTTAGACATTAAACAAATTATTTGCTATTCTCCTAATATAAAAAAAAATCAGTTGGAATTTTTTTTGTTTTTGTTTTAGTAAAACAAATCGTTTGTAAATGCTATTATGGGTCATCCATAAAGCACGTCACCCTATATTTGTCAATTTTTAACCCCTTCCCCCTGTCACAAACGATACCATATGTCTAGATCCCTCTCCCTCCTAAACTGTGATAGCAGTTTTTCGTCAAAAATATTTCAAAAGATTTAAATGTAAATATTTTGCAGCATTTTAAAAATTCAACCTAATGAAAATAAGGCAATACGCATAAACGTAAGGAGCGTAAGTAAAAATTTCGACAAACCAAAGATTTTCTTATTTAAACGACTTAAATAAGTATTAAAAAGTTGTAATACTATTTTCAGTTGCTCTTGGTCTTGCGGAAAAACTGTTTTCGATTTGATAACTTTTATAAATGTTATGAAAAATCACTCAGGAATTATTTTTTAAAATTAAATTAAAACAGAACCAGTTTTTAAAATTTCCTTTGTTAATTATTTTTAATGAATGAGTTCTATACCTTTGCAATTGTTTTGTTTCGTAGTTTTAACTCGAAACAATTGAAGTAAAAAATCCGCGATAACAATCGCAAGGTAACGTAAGTTAGATATATAGTATCAAAAAAACCAGTTTATTTTCCTTACCCGGTCACCTCTGATAAAAATTTAATATATTTTTTAAAATGGCATAGAATTCTTAACATCTTGTGAAAGTTTCTAATACAAATTTACGCTTTACTGATTCGCAGAAATCTGACCTAAAAGTTGGAGGAATTTTTTTACCTAGTTTTCCGTGTAACGTAAGTTAAGTGGCATTTTCAGTAATAAGTTTGCCCTCTTTCGGCCAGACTCAAAATTTTTTAGCTTATTTTATTCTTTAGACTAACAAAATAGCTAAAAGTTTAATTTACAGTTTAAATAGGCAAATATTTGATAAAGTTATTGCGCGTGTAACGTGAGTTACAAATGGAATTGCCCATATATTTATAATAATAGTTAAAAAAAGGTAACAAAAAAAAGTTTTAAATATAAATATATTACAGCTAAGGAAGGAAGCTATGGGTGACATGAAGCTCACCTAAGAACTTATGTTGTATCCCATCAAATTTTTTAGAAATTGAAAGCAGTTCATTTGTACATTCTATAACTGTAAAAACTTATATCATTTGCTAGTAGCTTTTTGAGAAAACTCGCTTTGAGTTTTATAAAAAAATATGTTTCAGTATTAAAATATTTCTCTATCAGCCAATACAGCTGTTTATTTTCTGTAATTGAAACAACGCAATTGGTAATAACAAAATTTATTGGTTTCTGGTTGGCTAATTGTTTTTGCCTATGGGACGTTGTTTTAAAAGACCTTATATAACAACTGCGGCTATAATAATAAAATAACAGTGTTTTGATTTTCTAACTTAATTATTTTTATCTTCAGTTCTAACAAGTTAGAACTAGTTAGTAAAATGTTAGTTTATGATTACCGCAATTTTTAAAAATAATTTGTATATATTCCGTTTGAAAAAAAGTAATAATTTAACATAAATTGTTTTTGTTTTTTTGCACAGTTCTTCTTGATTAGATCAAAATTTTTTTCTTGGATTGGACAACCTTGATCTGCCTGAAATTTTTTCTATATGCTGAAAAAATCTATTGAGCTTAATCTATTCAAAACTTCAGGCTAAGCCACTGTATTTCAAAACTTTAGGCTAAGCCACTGTATTTCAGTAAAACTACCTTAACTCTGTCAATAAAAAAGTAGTCAAACAGCCAAACAAATTATATATCGCCATTTGATTCTCTCGCTAGGATCTGAAGGTTAGTCAGAGGCCTTACCTTTATTTAAAACAAGCAGTGATAAGGAGTCCAAAAAGAACTCTGGCTTTATGTTTCCATTTTTTCTATGTCTCCAGAGTCCAGAAGCTCTAAACATGTTGATTTATGATCTGCTATAAGAAAAAAATTCATGAGATTTAATGACTTGGAACTTATTTTTTTTAGGCTCAGAATCCAAGAGTTCAAAAAAATTGATGGTTCCTCTAACCTAAAATCTTTTATTTTTTCTCATTAGTAGTCCATAAGCTTTTTTACATTTTTAAAGCTTCTGGATACCAAAAAAGAGGAATAAGTAATCTTTTTGTGACTTTTTAATCCGGAGTTCTTTTTGGGACTGCATGAAAACAAGTCTTTAAGTAGAGTTTTCTCAAAAAGCTACCAAAAAATGATAAAAATTTTAACAGTTTTAGAATGTGCAAATAGACTGCTTTTAAAATCAAAAAAAAAAAAATTATGGGATAAGATTTAAAGTCTTAGGTAAACATAAACTTCCTGGTTAAATGCTGTGATACTCTGTAATAAAACTGTTTTTAGAGCACCTTTATAACCAGATAATATAAATGATAATAATAAAATGGCAAGTTATCGATTAACCTTCTTTTCAAGTTGCAAAGCTCATGATCATCAAAACTTTGTTAGATTGTGAATCTAGTGTATTAAGCAATGAAGGAAGCAAAAAATTTTGTAAAAGTTGATTGTTGTAAACATTTTATTGAATTTTGAAACCAAGTCTTCACTTACTCATGTATCATCAAATTTAATGATGTATCTTGAATTTTAAACAAGATAACACAATCATTCCAGCCTAACCCCAGATAGTTTAATTTCATTTTCAACAGCTTTTTTCAAATGTCTAATAAGAGTTAATTAAAATATCAAATAAATGTTTTATTTACTAATAATAATACAAATGATTAATTTTGAAATAAAAGTAAAAAACTATCAAAGCTTTACTGGCAAAAACTTAAAATCTGAAACAAATATGAAAAACAAAAAATTACAGAGTGTGTTCATTTTAAGGTTCCAAAAAGGGTCTTAAAAATAAAAGAAAAACAAATACTAAAGCAAATAGAGCTAAAATATAATGCTGACATTGATCTTGATACTAAAATTAGCTAGCTTGTAATGTAATATGTTACAGATGGATGAGAGAAAGTTGTAAATATAAGTACCCTAAAATGTTACTTGAGTCAGATGTAAAACCTGGGGTTACTTGGGTCAAATTTTGAGGTCTTAAATAGTGGGCAATAATGGCATTTAATCCCTATGATGTTAACTCCACAATAATGGTAAGTAGTCATATTGTTTGTTTTAATGCACATTCGTCACAAAATCTTAGCAAAACAACAATAAAATTATTTAAAGTTGTTTACACTAAAATTGAATAAAATTTTATGAGGTAAAACTTTATTAAATACTTTTTACAGTAGCATTATAGGAGGGAAAGATATATATCAAATTTACTAGTGCTAATATTTGTATCACATGTTGCAATATTATAACTTTAATAATTAAGGTGATTAAGTAAAAAATTATTTTTTTAAAAAAAAGAGGCTTTCGGGTCAACATATGTTCAAAATTTTCAAAACAGTTATTTCGTAATAGTAATTTATAAAGACAAATATAAACTTGTTCAGATTATATTTGTTAAGTTAGTACTGCTTAATTCTAGTGACCTACATCAAGCAATATTTTGTGCCAAACAAAAATAACTTGAAAATGTAAAACTGTTTTAATTTTAGTTGCAGAAGAAATACAATAAGAAGGTCCTGTAAATGTAAAAAGTCTTTTAAATCTTATGGCTGACCTTGTGCACTTAGTAATGAAGAAGAAGCTCCCTTAGTTCAAAAATTACAAATTCTTGTAATTGGGGATATCCATTAGACTTTCATAATTTGATGGAACGGGTCAAACAATATTTAGACAAAGCTAAAAAAAAAAATTAAACAATTTAAAAAAAATACTCCAGGAATTTATTAGTGTTATAGCTTGCCAAAAGGCACGGCTTATTGTTATGGAATATATTAAATATAAAAACATCAAGTGTTTCAGTCAATCACTCTGTAATAAGTAAATATTTTGATGAAATTGAAGTATTACTTAAGGATGTTAACTCAGAAAATATAGTAAACTATGATGAGACAAATTTGACTAACTATCCCATTAGTAAGAAAGTCTTGACAAAACGAGAAACAAAAATGGTAACTAGAGTATTACACCACACCAAAACAACAATATCATTGATGGAGTCAGCAAGTGCATCAGGAAGAATGTTGCCAATTTACACAATTTACAAAGCTGCACACTTGTATGATGCCTGGTGCAAAGGAGGAGATAAATAATTTTGATTCAATAGGAGCCAAAGTGGGCGGTTTAATGCAGAGTGCTTTGAAGATTGGTTCATGAATGTTTCATTAAAATATTTCAGCAATCTACTAGGCAAAAAATGGAGATAAAAAATTGGAGATAACTTATCTAGCCATCTGTCTTATAATGTGATTCAAAAGTGTGAAGAAAATAATATCTCATTTATTTTCCTTCTACCAAATTCCACCCATTTGCTGCAGCCTTTAGATGTAGCTGTATTTAGACCCATCAAAATAGCTAGGAGGCAAATATTCTTGAATTGAAAGCAATCATTTAATTAGAAGAACTTACCTAAACACATATTTCCATATTAATTAAAGGATCTTATAAAAGAATATGAGTGAAAACATTTAAGTAGGATTTAAAAAGTCTTAAAACATTCTATATTAGGGATATTATACTTAGACAACGGCCAGATTTGTCATCATCAGAACAAAAAGTACTTTTCAGAATAAAAGTACAATTCAGAATGGAGCAAACAATTTGATTGACATTCACCAAAATCTAAATAAAGAATTAATTGAGTACTTAGAATCAAAGAATCACTAAAAATAAGGTTGATAGCGTAAGTGAAATTGACCAACCAGTTAAAAAGAAAAAAAAGTTGAATGTTGAACCAGGTGGTAGTGTATCTTTGATGGATTTAGAAAATGATTTACAAGAGATGACTAAAAATAATAAAAAAATCTTTCTTATACTAATGATGACCAGTCTACTCTTTCAGATGTCAAGGATCAAAATATTGCTGATTTAAAAAACTTTCACAGGAATATCCAATCAAAAGGAATATACTGAAGGTTTGTTCATATTAACAAAAATACCTATGGAGAATGGAGGAGCCAATAACTTAATTGAAAAACTCAAAGCATTCATCCAGGTAAAAGCAGAGACATCCAAAAATATGAAATTATCTTCATGAGACACTACAGGTAAATCAGAGTTACTTTAATTCAAAATTATTTATAACTAAATATTTTCCTACAATTTACTCTTTTGTTGCCTTTTTAATTTAGGAGTACAGAAAATGAACTTACTAGACCTCCTAATGAAGACAATTTGATAATAGATAAGGACTTCATTGTGGGAATACTAGAAATGCCTGAAGTGCAAAAAGGGCCTGAATAGCCCTCTTTGCACTCAGGGCCTGAATAGCCCTCTCTATTGCTAAACATACGATAATGGTAGGTAGGCATATTGTTTGTAAAACAAACAATATGCCTACTTTCCATTATCGTAGAGTTAACACCATAGAAATTAAATGCCATTATTGCCCACTATTTAAGACCTCAAAATTTGACCCAAGAAACCCCAGGTTTTACATCTGACTCAAATTTAAATTTAAATTGTGGCATAAAATTATTGCCATGATTCAAAATCATGGCAATAATTTTATGCCACAATTTAAATTTCCAGGAGAAATAAAGGTGTTATTATGATTATTAAAATTTATAATAACTAATTATGTAGATATTATGCATTAAAAATTATTAGGTAAATGTTTCATTTTTGACCCAAGTAACTCACAAGAAGTTAAAAAGACATAACCAACCAAAATGAGAACGATTATTTATAATATGTTGTTTTGCAATGCCCCATTAGAATATACTCCATTTCGCATAAGCAAAACGGAGAAAAAATGAAACTAATTCAAATATGGGTGCTATTTTTTACTGATATTGTTTATTTTCGTAATGTTTAGCAATAGTTAAAGCTATTCATTTTCATCTCTTGGGTTTGATCCTAAACATAAGAAGGTGTTCACATAAATAGCATTTACTTTACATCTAAAAATAAATGCCAGGACCTGGCATTTATTTTTAGTATCAAACCCAAGAGATGATAATGAATAGTCCTCTTTACTGCTAAACATTATTACAATAAACAATTCATAGTAATGAGCTGGCCCAGGTCATTACTATGGTTCAATTTTCAATAAAGAAAAATATTTCCTTAAAATATCTACATTTTTTAATACAGATGATGTTATAGATGCCCCTCTAGCACTCCTCTTTTATGTCTGGCAAAACTTTTCATTAATGGAAAATTTTCTTTAAAAGTATTTTTTGTTAAAACCTATTATATAAAACTACATATCACTTTGAAAACAGCAAAACATTTATATCCGATACCAAATAATATATGTCATTTTTTAAGTTAATATAAAAATATTTTTAGATTAGTAAAAGAAAAAGTCAAACTTTGTTTACTTACTTCAAGTAAATTTCGCAAGTTTTTTCCTCCAACGATTACATTGTTATTTTTCGTGATATCAACGTATTCTGTGTTTACGTATCTTTTTTTTATAGTCAGTTTGTAAAAATTGCTGATGTATAAAGATTTTATTTTTTTTGAGCACACCAAGAACCGAGTCGGTAACATTTACAATATTCGGTTTGTATATGTATGTTACGTATATAATTTTATGTATTTATTTTTCATTTAGATCTAAAACTGCTTTAAAAGTTTATTGAAACGTTCATTAACTAATTTCAAAATAAACAAAACATAATGTTCACTTTAAAACGTAATTTTTTTATTATATTGTTAAAAAGATCATATTTTAACGTTTCAAAATTATAGCCAACGGGTCCTAGTAGTTAACTGAAAAATAAAAAAATATTCTTTCCTCGCGATACATTTTGAAGAAAATACAAACTTTGTAAACATAACATCACAAAGCTCTGTAAGAGAATTCCGATAAAAAAAAAAAACCGTCATTAATCTTAAACTAGATTAAAATTGAATAGCAAATCTCAAATTTCAAAAAAAAAAAAAAATGTTGTTTTAAACTATTATTATTATTTTAAATTATACCAATCAAATTTAATGACCAATCAAAATAACAATAATATCAATTAGATTATTTGCAGAGATTAAAGTGAAGGAATGTAGAAAAAATGTCTTATTTTTAGACATTTTTACAATATATTGCACTAATTTGTACAATATATTGTACTGAAGTTTAAAGAAATCGTTAAAAGACACAAATATAAAGCACTTTTTTCCTAATGCTAATGTTTTACTTAATGACTTTCGTGTCTAATGGGATAAATGAAAAGCCAAATTCTTAAATATCCCAAAATGTTTAAATTTCACGCCAGTTTAACATCTATAACGAAATTCAAAAAGTCGCGTGATTTGTAAAAGTTTAGCAGCTACCGTAAAATGTAATATGTATACTACCTATTAGAACTATATACATCGCCCCTAATTTTCCCTTTTGGGTTTCTTTAACATTTTAAAATAATGACTTGTAACTTATGTAATTTGTTTAAAAACAACTTTTATTTCTCGTAAACAGAAATAAATGTTATTCTGTTTGTTATTTAATTCAATACAAATTGTACTGTTTAACTAACTACTTTTTTTCTTTTTTCTTTAGTTAATCATTTTAGTCTAATTTATTTCATCAAAATTAAGTCTTTTAGTTTCTGCAGAAAATATGTTGAGAAATATTGCGTTCATAATATAGAGAATAATAATAATAAAGATGTTTGGGTTATATTTTTTTGATTAAAACAAAAGAATAAATAAATACCAAGCGAAACTAACTTTTTTTATTATAGTAGAAGCTCGCCTTCTCTTTTTTATTATAGCCTAAAAGTCAGCATAATATACGCCGCAATCTACAGACTTGACTTTACTCAAGACTTTATTCAATTCAAAACTTTATTCAATTCTCAGAGTTGTTAGTCCTTGGCCTTGCCTTAAGGCCAAAAATTAGGTCCTTGACCTTAGCCTTGCAACTCTTCGCCTTGAAACTCTTGGCCTTGGCTTTGAAATTTTTTGGCCTTGAATTTTTTTTTCTAACTTTCTGTTTATTTTAGCAAGTTCATTTTTTGAATTTAGAACAATAGAATTATTTAAAAGTAATTACATGCTGTAATTCATTAACGTTTAACGTTATATAATATTATTTTGTTACTTACTGTTAGTTAGTTAAAAAAAAATCAATGAAAACTGCTTGTGACATTTTGAAGACATGAAAATGCATGAAAAATTTGTTTTTTTTTTGAAATTTAAAATTCGAACGATTTTAAAATTTTCATTCAGAATAAAATATTCATTCAAAGAAAAAATTTTATTTAAAATGTATGAAAGTTCTATAAAAAGAAGTATATAAAGAATATAACTTTTATTATTAATCGTTGTGAAACGTTATAACTTTAAACTGTTCCAGAGTTAATTTTTAAATATTATTTATTACAAAAGTAAGATTATTTTAAATCAAGAGCAGTTTTAATTTGATCAGAAAAATAATTTAAGGTACCAAGTATACCTTAAGGTGCTTGAGAAATGAAATTTTGATCTTTATAGTTATAGTATGTCAGATTCTTTGCTTGATATAATAATGTTTCTTAAATGCAATAAAGACTTGTAGACTATAATAGTTCATTTGAAAACTTATATTTAATGCTAAATAATAATATTAACATCTTATATTTTCAAATTTTTACGTAGTTTTGTTTTTGGCATTACTATATATCTATTTTCTAATATATTTTCTTATTGACAATATATACGCATAACCTTGATTTAATTTTGAAACATGCGGATTTGTTGTTTGCAGCTCGAAATTTAAGTCTTACCCCGTGAAATACTTGGATGTATTCTTTACCTTGTCCTTGGCTTTGAAATTCTTGTCCTTGAACTTGGAACTTGTGGCCTTGGCCTTGGATCATGTGGTCTTGGAACATGTGGCCTTGGAACATTTGGCTTTGGTCTAGGCTTTGGAAAATGTGGCGTTGGCCTTGCTATATTTGGCCTTGTTAACAACTCTGGTTATTCTTAAGATTTTCACTACATGACATCATTGATTTTTTTGTTTGCGTAAGAGATCGATTATGTAAACAAACAAATAAGTCAACACTTTATAAGAAGGTTTATCTTCAAGTGGATACAAAAGATAAGCCTTTTTGTGAAAAAACCTGCATGCAATTAAACCTGTTGTTCGTTCTTGTCGTAACATTTTTGTTCGTTCTTGTAGTAACAGAAATGTTCATATCAGAGTTTAGCTTTTATTTCTTATACTTTCTTATAAAAAACCTTATATTAGATTATTATATTACAAAATAATATCACATCATACATACAGAGATAGAAATGTTAAAATTAATGCATGGAAAGAATTTCTACATGCTTCAAAGTAAAAAGTATCCTAAAAAAGCAATAATTGCTTTTAGTCGTAAATTTATTGCTGCCATTTTTATTGATGACATCAACAAAAAAAGTAGCGCAAAATAAGGTAATTGGAAATCAAAACGGCGTGACGTCATAGCGAAAAAAATTCAATTCGCGTTTTTTTTTTGTTTTTTTTTAAGCGAAGAGTTTCGTCATATCGTCAGGTTAGAATTATTTTGTTGTAACTCTGCATTTGTTTAAACTGAGATAAATTAAGTTGAAGTTTTACACTGCAATCCAGCAGAAGTGGCAATACATATTTTAATAATGCAAACGTTTTTCAATACTTGACTATATGCTCATTATAATTATTTGTTGTGAAAATTTTTTTTTTTGCTCAAATCGCTATTATGGCCCCACCCTGTTTGGAGATAGAACAAAATAGCTTTTAAATTTTAACTTCGTGTTAATATTATTTTGTACTATCTCCATTTTTTAGTAAATACAACTTGAACGTTTTGCGAGGAGTTGATGGATTACAAGAAATTACTTTTAATTTAAGGATTTAAAAGCAAATATAGACCCTAAAACACTTAGTTGGCAAATTTAAATGGATATGGTCATTTAATAAGTTTTCTAGATATATTGCTTCTGGTAGGATGGGCAGCTTCAATTACAACAAACTGATTTTAACCAAAGCTATATTATTTATAATAAAATTACTTTTATCTAAAAAGATTTATTGAAAATAAAAAATAAGTGTCTTTAATACAAATAACAAGTTAAGAACAGTTTAAATGAACCTTATACAAGATAAAACTGAATAGTGCATAACACAAATAAAGTATATCCGGATAAAGAGTTAAAAAAACAACTACTGAAATAATGTTTTATAGAAACAAACATCTACAGCTGGCATGTAAGGATACATAGAAACAATGTTTTTTATCTTCTCACTAGAAATTTCAATATTTTGTCGAAAACAAGATGCCAATGGAATTGATGATTCTTCAAGATTACTTCCTGATGATTGTGTGTTTTTTGGCTTAGTCAGCCGTGCCTCTTTATAAATATCTGTAAAACGAGTCTTGAAAATGCACATGACCAGGAGCATTAAACCTATATACAAGCGTTTTAACATTAAAGTATGGAACATTTTTGTAGTTCAGAAGACTAGCAATTTTTGAAAAATTTTTAATATCGCTATTTTGCATTTGGTATACAAAAAATGGTTTACGTTGGTTAACATTCAACATTGCTTTCACCAACCCAAGAGGACTAAATATTTCTGCTGAATGTAATGATTTCTCAATCTGACTATGTATATTATCACATTCCTGAATAGAGCTGTGCCCTGGCTCACAATACTTTTGCTCAATGATTTCAATATTTGGATGATCAATAAGAAACTCACGCAATGCAGCTGACATATGACTGTTTCTATTCTGTGGAACGCAAGAATCAAACCAAAGTATAAATTTATTAATATTAGGAAGATCCTTGTAAACTTTATTTAGCATAATCACAGCACAGCACATATCACAGCACTGGCAATGTCATTACCAGAACGACCTGACATACCTTCATGCCATGTGACCTGTTAAGTTATAACAGCTGAGCTTTCTTTTATAAAAGAAGTTTCCCACATTGCTTTTTGGCAAGCTCAAGACATTTTGTAGATCAATACAAACTATGGTTGTGGAAGGGGAGTTCAACTTTCGATCCTTATCTTTCTCAATTTTTGTTTCATTCTTTGATGCAATATGCTTGTTATACTTTTGGATTTGCTCTTCATTTGCATCTTCAATAATTTGAAATTTGTAGCATGTATCACACAGATCCTTTTTCGGCTTTTGAAATTCAATATTAAATTTTGTATTAAAAACATTGCGGTACATACATGCCTTTGCTGGTGAAACTTCATATTGAGTGCAATATGTTAAATACTAATTATAAAGTTTCTTCAAATTTAATGACCCATCAAAGTATTGTTTGCAGGAAATGCTTCGACAATAATGTGACTCAACTCGTGGAAACAAGTTGATATGGTTTTCTATACTCTGTTTAGTCATTTCAAGAACTTTTTTTTTCCCTTTTGTTTTCCCCATTTTGTTGGGGCAGGAACACCAGTTTCAAGTTTATTTTCATGATAGTATGATATTTGCCTGCTGCTGATGTCTAATGTAGACAAATAAAACTCCTTACATACACGATGCTTAATATTATCAACAAAGAAATTGTAAAAATAAGTATATTTTCTCCTTGAATTGGTTACTTTATTGGTTCGAGATCTTTTTTTATCTAATCGTTCAGTAGTTTTACTAAAAAAGTGTTGCTTTTCGATCTGAGACATTCCCCACAGTCCATTAAATTTGCCTCCAACATTTATATATTCCTTTCCTGATTGTCTAAGTCGCTTTCTTTTTGACTGTTTCCAGTTATAACAGTTTGCTTTACGTTTTCTTGTTTTCCCACTATGTGGAGGTAATCGCAGTTGATCAGAAATTAAAGGATGCGTTGAAATATAGGGTGTAACCAT